AAGCCGCTCCCAGCGACTCGCGATCGGAACCCCTGTGTCGGCAAGACACTCCTAGCGACTCGCGATCAGAACCCCTGTGTCGGCAAGACGCTCTCAGCGACTCGCGATCGGAACCCCTGTGTCGGCGATTCACTGACAGCGGCTCGGGCACATTCCTTTACCACGATTTCCACATCAAATTACTTTTTGGCAATTACCGTAAGCAAGTCTCTTTTATTGGGATTTCATTCATTAGATGAAGAACTATCAGGCTGTCAAAACAGGTTAACTTGTTTTGATTTAATGACCAGTTTAGTGACGTTTTCGCCATTTCTACAGTTAGTGCCAAAAAGGGCCCCGGCATAGTGGGATTACCCCCCTCAGAGATAGAGAGCTAAGAAACATTTATAACTTTGGCCAATAACCAGCCTGAGTTGTCAAATAGCTGAGAGCCCCACTCACAGACTTAGCGTTGTCCTTGCCGGCCTGGGTTGAGCCAGACCTCTTACTGCTGGGTTCTTGGGAGGTGTCTGAGGCAGGTGGTCGCTTTGTGCCCGTGCCGGCCTTGTTGGTGACCTTCACCTTCACCCCAGGCCCGCCCACTGAAAGTGAAAGGATCAAATGTACAACATTTTAGTTGACGTCAAAGTTTCTTTGCACCATTGTCTCAATCAAAATACAAACTTATTCAAAAGGGTGATTCATTAAAAAATATAAATATATACTATGAAACGTTAAAGAAATGTATTCCTTTGCACCATTGTCTCGTTCATAATATGAATATATACTATGACACGTTCTTTGCCCAACTGTGGTACTAGACAGGACTCACGCTGCGGCAGGTGGTTGAGGAAGTTGTAGTACTGTGTGTATTATGACCTACAACTGTGTGTGTATTATGACCTACAACTGTATGTATTATGACCTACAACTATGTGTGTATTATGACCTACAACTGTGTGTGTATTATGACCTACAACTGTATGTATTATGACCTACAACTGTATGTATTATGACCTACAACTATTTGCGTATTATGACCTACAACTATGTGTGTATTATGACCTACAACTATGTGTGTATTATGACCTACAACTATGTGTGTATTATGACCTACAACTGTGTGTGTATTATGACCTACAACTGTGTGTGTATTATGACCTACAACT